TGGATAAGTTATCCAGGATAACTTGAATCAGTAGTCATTATATACTCATAGAATTCTTCAAATAGTATTCAAATCATTGCAATTGATTTACGGGTTATGGGTTACGGGTGCTCTTTCGGGCATTTTTATGAGAAGTGATCCTTAGTTTGACGCTGTCCTCCGACATCGATTGCAAATGATTCACAATTTCAGGCGACTTTGAGCTCTTAAACGAATGGTTTGAATGGTTTGAATGGTTGTCTCCTTTTTTCTTATTCTTGGATTTATGGCTCTTATGTTTGGAACCATTGTATTCTTTGTATTGAATTGTATTCCATGACTTCTCGACTCAAGTCTGATATGGCTTTATATGGCGAATAAATTGTGATAAAATGATTGTTAAGAATATAATATATAATTTAGTCATTTAGTGGCAATCAATGAGTTTATAGAAAATAAGGTTTCGAAGCCTCAGTTATGGAAATCACTTGAAAACTGTGTCGTCTATTGATTACTAAATTGTGAACACCTTATGCTATAAATAACTTATAATATTTAGTGGCAATCAATGAGTTTATAGAAAATAAGGTTTCGAAGCCTCAGTTATGGAAATCACTTGAAAACTGTGTCGTCTATTGATTACTAAATTGTGAACACCTTATGCTATAAATAACTTATAATATTGAACTCAAGAATTAACATATATTTGTGGTTAACTCGACAATGAAAAGCAAAAGGACTTACATTTGAATATCTTTTTGACCGATTTCTTAACATTCTTGTTGTTGTCGTACAAAATGGTAGACAATAAGTAATAGACGCAGTCATTGGGAACTAAACCCCTTTTCTCCAAAAGCTTCTTCAGTTTCCCCACTTTTTTTTGGGTCAGACTTCCATCAGATTCTTGATTATTGGCAACGCTTGTCGATTGCAAATGATTCACAATTTCAGGCGACTTTGAGCTCTTAACCGAATGGTTTGAATGGTTTAAATGATTTGAATGGTTTGAATGGTTGTCTCCATCCATTTTGAGCCTAACCTCCGAGTGCTGCTTCTTCTCGCAGTTGAGACTTTGCTGATGATTATGGAAACGCGTCCAGTAATGGATGTACCGCTGGAGCCTCGCCCTCGCTGTCTGAGTCTCTTTGCTCTCTTCGAATTTATTACAACTCGTCTGATATCCGTGTTTAGACCAATCGGACAGACAGATCCAACAGAACTCGTATTTGCACTGTTGGTTACGACACGTCATGTGATTACAGCCACCGTTCTTCTCGATGGGAGCCTTACATTTGGGGCATTCCTATCGACACACAATTCATGGCATCAGACAGTGAGACAGTGGTAACTAAATATCAATCAATACCTTAGTGTATGAGAGGATCCAATTGGCGGTCTCGCAGTCTATCTTCTCCCCCGACTCTCCCAAACACTTCTTTTGCCAACTCTTGAGGACAGCACAACGGGTCGGTTCGTGCCATCGCTCACCGCATATGAAGCAGAAGACAGACCCACACTTGCACTCTATGGGTATGAACTCGACGTAATTGTCCACTTTGATGGCACTCAGACAGTCAGGGCTCGGACACCATCGCAGGAACCGATTCGACACCACAAAGCTATTTGTCATTAGGTATTGATATTTCACTAAAACATGTTTGTCTTCAATGATCTTCTGAATGGTGTTGTCGTCAACGATGATATCACATCCGTTTTCGGCACAACTGATGGCATTGCAAACGCCTTCGCCTATGATTTTGTTTGTCAAGTATTGTCGCCAACAATCTGTCAGACAATGTGTTCATACATATAGTCATCAATCAATTGATTGCTATTTATAGCCGTAAAACACATTCAATATATCATATGATGTGTGAAAACAGATGATTATAATAACAATAAATACTCACAAATACAGAACTCGTGGCCACAAGATATGGATGCCATCTCTTCACCATTCATATCGTTATAACATATGAGACATAAACTATTCTTCCGAGTGTTGGCCACTGAAGACATTGCTTTCTTCGGATCAATGATATGAGTGTCAGTGAAGAGTTGGTCTCTATTCGAGTCGAAGTATTTCTCCAGAAGATGGGTTTTATCCCAATTGAAGTGATTGAGAAGAATACGGATCACATCGTTGGGCAGTTCCATGACAGACATCACCTCATCGATCGACTGGTTCATGAGTTTGACGATCTCATCCACGTTTAAGATGTCGTATTTGGCGCGTCTGGAGGCGGAGGACGTGGAGGCCACCACTTGATCCGTGTCGATGGTGTCCTCGTCATCCATGGGCTCATCCATTGGTGGCTTGGGTTCGTCTTGTGGCCCATTGTCCTCGTCCTCCACATCGGACTCGTAGGTGAGGTCGATATCATCGTCCACTTCGATGTCACACATGTCTGTACGGCTAGTATTAGTGGTGTTGTGGTGATAGTGACAGTGCGTGTGATTCACTAATTGAACGCAAACTGCAAATTAGGACAAAGAGTTCAACTCTCAGTAAATGTGAAGCAATTGAAAAGCAATTGAAAATCACTGCTCACTATAAACAGGAGTTAAATGTCCACAAAATACTCACAAATGACGTTACTTTTCACGAAAGGGTCCCAAAGTATAGACACAATTTGTATGGACTTAGCGCGTGATCAGTGATCGTGAGTGGCAAAGGGGTCCACAAATAAAAGCATATATTTGTAAACAAACAGACATTTCGTGGGTTTGAGGCAATGATTGCGTCATTACTTATATATACTTTACTTGACTTTCCATTAACTGTTCATTTGTTTCGTAACAGTTGTGTCGCTTTTCAATGCATGACTCGTTCATACGTTTACGAAACGTAATCATGTTTTCGACGTTTATTTGTATTGAAATATACGGCAATTGATGCCAATATGATAGTCAGAGTGAACACCAATACATACACTCATTCACTAACCATAGTCTCGATGACAAGTAGTGGTCAACTGTAGTCTAATTATGGTATAGAGAGATGCATATACTATGATACCTACCAAATTGTCTACACCTAGGTCCTATTTATACTGTATATAGAACTTGGTGCTAGGTTACAAACCTCCAACTAGGGTGGATTGGCATACATTGGATGTATAATACATGTGTATTATTCTATGTATTATACATGTAGAATACATGAGCCCATTTACCATACATACATGAAATCCCGCCCCCTATTGAGAAAACTGTCAAATTTCTGATTATTTTCATTATTATTCAAATATAAATCTTGTAAATATTTTTTGAAAATCAAAATTATTATTTTAGTTAATTTTATTTAATTAAAAA